TCTAAACGAGAATCATTACTTCTCCATCTAATCCTCCTGATGCTTTTCATTGCACATTAGTGATCAGAAATATGGTGTATTCCCCTCAGTCCCCTGCCGCAAGTCTAAGTAGGTTACCTTGATGTAAGTTGATCGGAGTTTCTCCCTAACTCATGGGTTGTAAAAGAATGAACTACTGTTGGGTTTGAGTGATTGTTGATGGATTGTGGTGTGATGTACTTGAAGGAAATTGAATGCAACTTACAATGCTTAATAAAAGTCTTTATTCTTTTAGAATAATTCTCTGTGTGCGCGTGTGTGTTTTTGGAGTTGACGGCTCGTCATCTCAAACCTTTTACAGTGTTAATAGCAGTGTTGTGCAAGTTACTTCCAAACTGTAATACATTAGGTATTACTTGTTACTGTTATTTAAAAGTAATTCATTACCTTACAATATTACTGTCTCAGAATTGTAATGCGTTACATTACTCATGTATTACTTTTGAGTTACTTTCACCAAAATAACTAAGTAGAACTTAACTTTGGGGCTGTAACGATATGCAATATGAAACCGAAATCGCGATTCGCCACACAACTCAGATCCACGAACCTACAGAATCGCAACACACCTCTTCCAACTCCCAGCGTTGTTCTCCTTACCGTCCAGATCCAATGCTGCCTTATCTTTAAATTAGGCTATTAGTAGTATTTGAAGTTAACATTATAAAATACGTAGACCTACACCACAAAACTAGTTGAGGATAAATTATTTAAAATTGGGGAAGTCCAGCATTATGGACATGCAGAGGCGAACCAACAGTGAGTGGGGGCCCCAGGCAAAATTAATCAATGAGGCCCTTAATAGTTTTTTTTGTAAATATATCTTTGTTTCCTAGGCTAGAGATATAATTATACAACATACAAAAAGTAGTCAAACACATCTAACAGAACAAATTGTTTATTTTTTTACAACATTAATGTACTTATGTTTTATCAAGATACAATATCATTCTCAAGGTACAGTACATAGGCTAAATCTTCATACTTATAATCTATTGTCACCTTAAAAACACTACTTACGAGCCTTAGCTACGGAAAATGCTGTCAGCTGCGTTTCAATAGCCCTGCAATTTGCGCAAATTGAAATTGCAAATTGAAAATACGCTCAATGGAAACACGTCAATTTCGCAAAAACTCCCGTTTATCGCAAAAAGGTTTTTATGCTCTCATGAGGTTTTTCAGGCAATTCGAAAAAGGATTTTTCCGCAAAACTGCAATGGAAACGCGGATTTTGCGCATTTACAGTCACCTGACTTAGAAGACGGAGTGTGTTTTAGGTCCGTGTCCGCAAATAATAATAATAATAATTATGATCATTAGCCTATTATAACATTTATTAGTCTACATAGCCTATAGAAGACGCTTTTATCAAAAAAAAAAGGAACAAAGCAATTCGTCACATCTCATTCATAGTACAGGTTGGACAATAATAAGGGCTAGATTATCACAAATAAACACTCGATTTTGTCCAATATCCAAGAGTGTGTGCGGAGTTTGGAGCACGCACTGGATGGCAGACAGACGCGGGCGCGCCGTGAACACTTTCATTTCCCCATCAACAGTGGAATCAACTTAAAATACTCTATCATTTCTGGTTATACAGAAAATAATAATACATTATTCGCAACTACTTTTATTTGCGTAATGTTACAATAACAAGAAAACGTTGTGCTTTTGTAAAATAACATAAAACAGTCAGGTCCGCTTTATGATCTTCGTGAACTGGAGCGCGAGACCTGAACCAGTATCCTTTATAGACTAAAGCTTGAAATGTCCACTTTAAAAAGAACAAATTCGAATCGTAAACTAATACCTTCTGATTATGTAATCCGTATGAAAGGTGCCGTTCTCTCTAAAGGTCTATCCGGAGATTATGTTTTTAGCTCGTTATTTTTTCAGACGCATAATAATTTGGCCTTAGAAAACTAGTAAAATCAAACATTTTCCCCATATTAATTTGTGAATATTTTAAATGTTTTAAAGGGGGCAAAAAGTCATAAACAAATATCTGAAAATTTGTTGAGATGTTATAGCGCAGCTATGGTGTGGTCAAACTAAAATGTTGGTGTTCAACTTTGCATTTTAAAAATACAACAACCGTTCATTTTTCGTTTTGCAACGGCCGTTTTGACATAATGTTCTTTATTAAATTCTTCTTCTTTTTTTTAATTTATTTTTTTATTTTTTTTAAGAAACAATAATTACAGGAATAGCCTCTCTAAACTTCAAAGAAATACCATCAAGACATTGAAGCAGAAATAAGGGAGAAACGCAGGAACTCCATGACTTCCCCTGCCATTAATGCTTGATTGAATAACACACGTCTCCTTCCATTAATAATAATGTCTAGTGCGGTGCATATCTGTGAAATAGGTAAACTTACCAACGTCCGTTGCCATGATTTTTGGAATGACTTATCGCGAGAGGAAAAAAAGACGTTCGGTTAATGGAAACACCGTCATTTCGAAATAGTTTTTTATCGACATTTGGAAAATATTGTAAAAGTTTTGCGCAAATCTGTAATGGAAACGCGCAACGTTATCGTTTTAAAGATCTTTACAGAAAATAAATGCATATGTTTTCTGTAAATATGCTTTAAAACGATATGTAATGTTACTAGTGTGAATATGTGAACTGAACAACGAAACGATTTTTTTGTCATTAATTAGCTAAGTCAATCAATCATCATCATCTCATTCTCCATCACTTACCGGTTACCGCAGTCCTGTTTTCTCTTCTCCACTTCATCTTACTTTTTTTCACTTCTGGCTGCCAGTTGGATATGTCCTCTGCATGTTTAATACATGAATTCATGCATTTTCGGATATGATTTTCGGTTTCAGAAACGCGAGCAAGCGCTGCGACAGTTTGAAAAAGGCGCCAGAGGTGGCGAAAGCATAAGCAGCCTCGCGAGTCGCGAGAGAGGGGGCCCCACTAAGGGGGATGCCGAGGTGTTGCGGTGTCACTGCGTATATTAATACGAACATTTTTGATTGTTTAAATGATCGGCCCTCGGGGGCCCCCTCAAAATGCGGGGCCCCAGGCAATTGCCTGCCTTGCCTGCCCTATTGCAGCGCCTCTGTGGACATGATGACATTTGCAGTCAAAACTTGAAATAAAAATTCTCAGAAAATACATGTATTGAAACGTATATAGGCTACTTCCTTAAAGGACTCCAGACATTAGACAAATATCAGTCTATTTTTTATTTTTAATATTAGGGAAAAGACACACATTCATGCGTGACAAGAAAATAGGAGGCAAAATATATATTTTTGTAATTCTGTTAATTACACTGCGCAAATCGGATGAGGAAGGGTTGGCTCTGCAGTCTCCATAGAACTTAAAATATTCATTTTATTTTAGTTTTCGTGTTCGCATTTATGAGGAAAAAACAATGTTACAGACGCGACCGCTCTGAACTGGCACTAAAAGACTGCTTTAAAACTTTCACATAGTCTGTTGCCTTTAAGAAGTAAAAGCAGACAATACACTGTAATACAACTGTAATACAAGCCTCACTGAACATGTAACGAGTAAAATATTACTGAAAATTGATTAGTAATGCCTTACACTACTGCGTTACAGCAAAAAGTAATATGTTACTGTAATGTATTACTTTTGTAATGCGTTACTCCCAACACTGGTTAATAGTGAAGCTTTGCAACATCATGGTGATGTTTTCAGCCCCCTGCTGGAGAATAAACTGTCAGGTCATGTTCTTTAGTAATAGACTTAAGGTTTTGCTGCATGAAAACAGCAATGTTCTATAAATTGAGAACATTCTGTAGAACGTAAATGTTGCTTTATAAATGATTAACAGTTCAAATATGTTTGGCTCCTAGAATGCAAAAATAGGTCGGTTTAATCTTCCTTTTTTGTGGCTTAAAAAGATAAAAGATGTGACATTTAAAACACTGATTGGTGGATAGTCTGAACAATACTGGTGGCTAATCTATGTCTCAGGCCATTTAGCACCACCAAGAGGTCAAATGTGCACTTACATTTCAGGTTGCAACTGAACTGAGTGAACTGTGTGAACACAGCTTTTAGCCAACTAAATTTATTTATAGTTTTTAAAATTTATCCTAGACCCATTCATTATATCTTCCCAGAAATTTCGACAAAGAAGTTTAGGACAGGACTTCTAGGTCAGAAATAAAACAAATATTTTGCTTATATAATTATAGTCACTGGTCTTTTTTTTTTTTTAAGATTTTTTTGGGGAAATCTTATATATGTATATATATATATATATATATATATATATATATATATATATATATATATATATATATATATATATATATATGTGTGTATAAAATATTCCAAATGATTTGCTTGTACACTGATAATTCCATAGTGAGTTAACAGGATAGATCATGCAATGTTTGGCTATATTTAGTAAAAAGTAAAATAAAAAAGATTACCTTGTATATGTAATTGGCATAATTCCTCAATGTATATATGAGTAGCAATTATAAAACTTTCACTTTTTTTTAGAAGCAAAATACATGTTTATGTATGCGTGTGTAATGTGTATATACACACGTGTATATATTTATGAGAAAATAGGCCTATATACATACACATTTTATATGTACATACTTAATATACATTATGTAAGTGTGTGTGTGTGTTGTGTATATATATGTATGTGTGTGTGTGTGTGTGTATATAGTGACATACTAAATATACACATAATATACAGTATGTTTATATATGGTGTATATACACACATTTACACAAACATTTTATATTTACATTAAAGTAACTTATATTAATTTACTTCTCACTAGATTATATTAAAAAAAAATCTCGTAATCTTGAAGTAAAAAATGAATTAATGAATTGTTTCACAACTTAACTAGTCATGTTACTCGTTTTAGTTTGCACTATGCCGTTTATCTTCAAAATAAGAACCGTGTCAAAATTTGAACCAACTCTGTTCTTTTAATTCTCTCTCGTCTACTTTGCCATAACTGCATGAGACCTTATTAACGTGTCACAGACTCTGCTGCAGCTGGTTCGACGGTTGGCTGGAGGTCCCTGAAGGTGGATTTTCGTCTTTCTATCGTCCCGGGAAACCCGGAGAAGCAGCCGCAGCGTTTAATGAGCTCCTCCATTCATCTGGACCAGCATGACCGAGGCGATTTTTCCCGTCTTGCAGACTGACGTAACAATATTACAATGAAAGGATGCATTTTCTTGGGCTTTATGAACGTCTCCGCGCTCGTATAGTCACCAGGGGGCATGCACACGTCAATGCAGCGCGGGAAACATTTTAACATCGTAACATTGTAACGTCGGATCGGGGGAACGTTCGAATGGACGTAGGAGCAGCTCCGCGGCTCTTCATATCGCTGTAGTTTGTGTTACGGGAGGTTCCTGCTGCCCCCATCCATCTCTCCGGCTGTTGTTGTGAATTGATCTAACATGGCGACTGTACCCGTGTATTGCATCTGCAGATTACCTTACGACGTAACCCAGTTTATGATCGAATGTGACGCCTGCAAAGACTGGTTTCATGGCAGGTAACCGCAATATTTCGTTCAACTATTTAAGTGTGGATTTGGATGGAAGCGTTTTGCTCCCGTGCGCACATTTTGTATTGCTCTTAAGAGCGAGGGCCGCTTGAAGAAGAAGGCGGAGTTATATTTAGCTGGCTCGGTTGACACATTTTTGTGAACTGTACAAAAAGATTAGCTCAATCGTAAAGCCATTTCGATGTATTTTCTACGATGTGAGCTCGATCTGCGTGCATCGCACGCTTTGGTTGCGTCTCAGACTGGACGTTGTCGTAGTAGTGAGCCGTGGGTGTCTGCGAACACGAATGGCTTTTCTTTTACACCTTTTTTTTTACGGTCCTTTATGCGCCGTATTTGTCCAGATTTGCTCCTATATCAGTGCTTGAACTGTCTATGAATTGTGTAAAAACTGTCCTTGTCCTTTCTGCTGTCCGCTGGAAGAATAATAGGCTACTTATGAGCCAGACATTGCAGATTTAGAGCTGCTCTGCACATTTTAACATGTATGACATCTAGCCAGTATATCATAGACCGTATTCATCATGATCAAAACCAGTAAGTTCAGATTTATTTGCTGTATTGGTTCCGTGAAGCATCACTGACAGCAGCATGTATTGTAGCCTAGTCCTGCAAATGAGTTTAACTCGATCCAATAACGGCAGTCTGTTATTAGGCTAGTAGGCTAGTCGGTTATTATTCGATTTCATCTTAAATTGAATTATTCTGTATTGTTTGCGTGAGTGAAACTTGCGTGAACAGGTTTAAAATTCTATTTTGTAAATGTAAACAAAGAACAAGCGTTCCGGTTCACTGACTGATACATTTACGCGCGTTTAATTTTAACCCTTTAATGAGCCCTGTGATTGTTACAGTTCTAACGCTCAATTCATGCAGTCAAGAATATGATAATTAGCTACATGACGAGTGTTGTTGTTTAACGATCTAAACAGAGTGACCGCGTTGTAATTGTGTCTCGTTTTCAGGCTGAATATCTGCGGTTAACTGCATATTCAAATGTAGGCTGTAAGGAATTGTTTTAATTGTCACTAATGTGTTTGTTTCTGTTGGAGTGAATGAGATTTTAAACGTCTGTGACCTCTATATCGAGAGGGTAGGGCGAGGATCAAGCGAGTTATGGCTTTTAAGTGTGTACACTGATGTTAACACTGATAATTCTGTATTAAGCTGTTTATGGCAGTGTTAACTTGTCTGAAAAATAGTTTCAATCTTCGAGTGAGATTACAATACTGTAGCAGCTGCTAACTGACAGTTGTTGGTTTTTATCAAGCATTCACCAATGCAAAATTTGTGTGTAGAATCTGATTATTCTAATCTTAAAATATCACTTTGGTAGTTCTGCTTTTTTATGCTTGCTAGTTTTAAAACACTGATCATCACACAACTTCAGAATAAACAAAGTTTCCCGGTAACACTATACAATAAGGTTTCATTAATAAATGTAATAAATGGACAAAACATTTGTTGCATTGTTAAGCGCTTTGAGTGTCCAGAAAGGCACTATATAAATGTGATGTATTATTATTATTATTATTGTTAATGTTAGTTAATAAAAATATAATATAATGTTAGTTCAAGGTGCATTACCTAATGTTACCAAACACAACTTTTGATTTGAATAATGTATTGGTAAATGTTGAAATTAACATTTAGATTAATACATGCTGTTGAAGTCTTGTTCATTCTTAAAGGCATAGTTCACAAAAAAAAAAAAAAAAAAAAGTTCTGTCATCATTTACTCTCCCTCAAGTTGTTCCAAACCTGATTTAATTTTTCATCTGCTGAACACAAAAGAAGACATTTTGAAGAATGTTGGTAACCAAACAGTTTCTGGTCCCCCGTTGACTTTTTCATACTATGGAGGTCAATATGGGACCAGAAACTATTTGGACATAATTTTAATTTTTGGGTGAACCATCCCTTTAATTCATGTTAACTAAAGTAGTTTATAAAAATGAACCTTAGAATCTTACATTTAAACTGGTCACTCGAGTCACGCTTATAAATAGAGCTCAAAAACAAAAAAGATAAATACATTAATATGTTAATGTATAAAAATCAATTTTACAACTTTGACTGCTGCACTTAACCATGACAAGTTTAAAGTGCATCATTCCTATCATTGATATATTCTGTCTTGCAAAATGCATTCTGATGTTCTGTGCCCACAGAACCTCACAGAAAGCTTAGCAGATTTTTGTAGAACTGGAACGCCTGTCATTTGGTTACACGCATCCCTCACCCTTTGCATGATTGTGTATTAAATATTTTGGTTAATTTGATGATGCTTTCAGCTACTGATAAGTGCAGCTCCATTTGACATGTTTGACTGTATTTAAATCCGTAAGCCGATTTTTTTTTTTAACAGATTTTTACTTAAAAAATATTAGCCAAAGTGACTTCCAGCTGTCCATTTGTAGAAATATAACTCTCTGTAAGTAGTATCAGGGTTCCCAAGATCATAGAAAACCTGGAACTTGTCATAGGAACTAATATATACACATATTTCTAGTTTTCTATGCACTATATTTAACTGTCTAAATACTAAGCTACACTGCCTGTTCAAGTGCATGTGAACTCTGTAACCTCGCCTTTTACCTCACTTTCACCCCGTAGCAGCCATGGGATCTAAACCAAAATCCCGCTGTTGGAATTTTTAACCACAAGGCTATTTTTAAGTAATTATTTTGATTTTAGAAACAGCTTTTGTAACCTGATCACAAGCATCACCACCAAAGATATTAAGTTCCACTTCCACATTATTATTATTATAACTTCCTTTTGTTTCTTTCTATATATACTATATGTTTAATAAATGTTTAATCCGTTCCGAAAGGTGCCTCTATGATCAGCATACATTTCCATCCAGGGTAAACATGTTGATATATTGGGATTTCTGCAAGCATACTAGCCTGCGAACAGAAATGAAGACATTTTTTAACACTGCTGTCTGCAACGCACCTCCTGACCACATGCCGCTCTTTGTGGTGTGGGCGTGTGCTCTCCACTCTTCAGGTGGTAATGAATGACATCATTCCCTTCTTTTACAGGGCAGGATGCCAGCTACAAGTGGCGCATCAGATCCTAAAAGATATTTGTCCCATTAATGACAGAGCAGCTTTGGCATATTGCACAAGTTTATGAAATATGTTATAATAATACTCGATTATTGCACCTGTCTCGAAGGTGACTTTACAGGAAGAATCATTTAGAGCTGCCATAATGTTGTATGTTCCTTCATGCTTTTGTTGTTGTTGTATTTATTGATTTAATCTGTCTTGACAGTGTGTAATTACATTGTCTGAGAGTGAAAATCCAGTTAATTTACCCCCCCTCAAGGACATTTTCTTGACTGAGCGAGTGAGCGCCGCAGACTAGTTATCATTACACTGTTGATCATCAGACGCAAAGTAGAATATGACTGCATTAAGGTACTTAAGGTGTTGTTGTTGCTTTTAAGAAGAGGCTTTCCTAGACGTGACTATTTCTGGAAAGTGATTTTGAGACTTTCTTTTCAGGACCGTCTTCTCTTAACATTCAAAATGGCCCCATAAATAAACATTGCCATTACGGTACATGTTTGCAGGCAGCTGCTGCAGATCTTTTGCAGGCAGTTGTTTGACGATTAAGGGTCTATTGTGCCAGCACAACAAGACATGTACTGAGTGTAATTTCACAGAGAGACAAGCTAAAAGGAACAGCTCACACAAAAAGTGTTTATTCACCACTTTTTTTTCTTTTTCTGAGGAGCACACAAGGACATTTTATGCTCTTTTCCACGAAATATAGGACATGGATTGTTTTTATAGTTTATGTTGTTTTTGTTTTTTGGATGTTGACCCCTGTTGTCTCTATAAATTATTGTTGCATGAACATTCTTCAAATGCTATCTTTTTTGTTGTTTTTATTAAGTACAATAGCAAATTCAGTTTTGCATCACAGGAATAAATCATATTTTAAAATATATTCAAATTGAAAACGATAGTACTGTTTTAACTGTATTTACTCTCTTTTTGTGATGACGTCACTTTATAGGACAACTCGGAAGCTAGCGTCGTATGGGTTCCCTCGATCGAAAAGCTATGCATTTTCCCCATAGACTTTTGGAAAATCACAAAAAATAAGATCTGTGTTTAACAAAGACTTGTGACCCTTACACGTTTTGTCTATCAAGATAATCTTTACAAGTTAATCCAAAATGTATACATTTTGAAGCCTATATAAAGTTTGTGAAAAAACACAAGCAGACACAATAAAGTTGAAAAAAAAAAAAACACTAGCAGGTTATAATAGGTGTGTTTTATGTCATAGATCAAAACGTGAAAATATTTAGAGGCTTTGTTCACCACCAACCTTATTTCAGGTGATTTAGCAAAAACCCATTCAAAAATCCCATAGACTTTAGAGTGAACCGGGAGTACTAAATGCTAACTGCTAACTCACTTCCGCGTTTTTGGCCTACCCTACAGAGTGACATGTAACTTCGGCACTCTATTAATTAATATATTTTGTATCAACATTGAGCTCCATCAATAACATAAATGATTGTTTTTTTTTTCTTCTATGGAACACAAAAGGATAAAAAAAAATCACACTTCGCCTTCTTTTCCAAGTAATGTAGCGTACACTGTAGGCTACAGTGTTATTGGTGCTCTTGGTATATTCTTGACCACTGTGGTCTCTTTTAAATTGTTGCATGGAAATTCAAATATTCTCCTTTTGTTTTCTTTGATCGTAAATGTCAGATGGGCTTTGGAATGACATGATGGTGAAATAATAACTACAGTATTATTATTTGTGTTAACTGCTCCTTTAAATTGACATGGGATTGGCCTGTTCATGGCATTGTGCAGATACTCATGATAAGGATTAGCCGAGGAGAGTCGAAGAACATGGGAGATAGTATTATAGCAGTGTTTCACTGCTAATCCTGATACACGAGTGGGCGGTTTGACCTGTCACACCCACATGCTCTCTTTGTTGTCCTGAGACTTGGCTCCTTTCACTTTTGCATTGATTCAAGGGTGCTGACACCAACCACCATCTGAGTGGAAAGCATTTGTGATATTCATAAGGCTGCACGTTGTACCATGGTGGAGGAGAGCCCATAATGGACACTCCCAATTCAATATTTCCTCATGACCCGTGAGCAGCTCCTCCTAATGGCTGGAATGTGTTCCAGATGCATCGGGTTCATATTAGTAGTATAGGAAGAACATTTGCACTGCAGATGGAGTGACAAAATGCATACAGTGCCTATAATGTAATGCAGACATGTATTTTTTGTAAAGCTGCTTTGAAACCATATGTACTGGGAAGAGCGCTATACAAATAAATGTGAATTGAATTGAACTATAAAGAGGATTCAGGTTCTTGGAGGATTTTCATTTATGGCTCATTTACAGCACTGAATCACAGTGGATCTAGTTTGTTGTTCTTTGCCACTGATCAGCCAATCTCAAAGTCAAAACAGATATGTAAAAACAATTATTTTTGATTTTATTTTTATCCCCTTTAATATGACATGCTAGTGCACTCAATTTGGTTTAGAAGAAACTTACGTAGTTAAATCACTGTGTGCCAACAAGTGACCACTAACAACTAAATGAGTTACAAATTGAACAGACTGTGATACAGCAACGCTTCAACAGCTTTATGGGACAGCGATAAAGAAAAAACAGTATTAAAAATGTCACCTGACATCTTGGCTGTAGTTTTGCCAGAAGGCATGTGGTCGACTCTGAAGCCAGCTGGACGGAGGTTGAGCTTGTTGGCCATCAGACTACACACCATATTTGGCTTACTCTAAACATTGTGCATGATCAAAAATGCTCCATTTCCACTATGCAGGACTGGATTATGGACCGGGCCGGTTCCCTGAGGCATTGGACTGCCAAGGGCCACCAAAACCTCAGGACGTGTGGCCAGAGACTGTGAAACAAAGCTGTATAACCATTAGGGCTTCAATAAGGGGCAGGAAAGTGGCCAGATGTGCAAATCTGACAGAACTAGAAAAATGTCATTCTGTTAACATTGAAATTCCGAATATTTCATCCGAGTTCGCGGCTTGTTTTGAATGGTCATCAGTGGATGGTCATCAAGTTTATTATTGGCACTGTGTATTGCAAAATACTTTTACAGAACTGTGATTAACCAGGTTTAATTTGCTGTAACTCAGTGCTGACTGCTGCTCTGCTATTTTAATAATATTGCAATGGATCTATTGAAACTAATAGATGCACATTTGTTTGTTACAGCTGCGTGGGAGTGGATGAAGATGAAGCACCAGATATTGACATCTATCACTGTCCTAACTGTGAAAAAACCCACGGCAAATCCACCCGTGAGTATCTTTTCTTCATACTGTGAATGAATTAGGGCAGCGAATTAGGGTTGTAGTAAATTGTCTTATATATTTTATCATAAGTAGTATTTTAATTTTATATCATATTTGACAAATATAGTAATACATTGTGTATATATAACGTATCCTTTAAAAGTTGGGGTCAGTTAGATAAAAAAAAAAACTTCGATTAGTAATGTAATAAATGGATCAAAAGTGACAGTAAAGGCATTTATAATGTTACAAAAGATTATTTTTTTCAAATGCTATTCTTTAGAACTTTCTATATGTCAAAGAATCCTGGGAAACAGTTTAAAAAGTTTCCCCTGAATTTCATTGCATTATTTAATAATTATGAAAATGAAATACATTCAAATTTGATTTCTTAATTTTCAGTATCAGTATTTTTGTACAGACTTTGAGATCTCTTTTTCATTCAATGTGTTACTTCTTTGCAATTAATTGTGAAGTTTACTAACGTTTCTACATCAATTTTGTACCAGTCCAACCCTGTAATGAATGAAAACAAGTTTTAGATACGTGATCATTTATTTACAATCAAAGTAGTCTTGTCCCATTACCAAGACTGCCATCTAAATAGCATATAATATTCATGAAAATAATGTATTTTTTTTAAATGACAGAATACTACATACTAGTTTTGGTTCCACACCAATCAAAACAACAAAGTTGAAGTTAAAACCTTCTTATACATTTAATATTAAGTACATTTTTTTTCTGTATTAAGAAACTGGTAGCATCAAGAAAGAGTAAAGTAAATTATGCTCACTATGTGTGAATTTGATTTGGTTGGTTTCATCTGTTTATATTTTTAACAGTGAAAAAGAAAAAGAGCTGGAATAAGCATGACACGGGGCAAAGCGGAGACGTCAGACCAGTTCAAAACGGCAGTCAGGTGTTCATAAAAGAGCTGCGCAGCAGGACATTCCCCAGGTATAGTACACATGTATTTACGCACCTTTGTGGAGATCATCCCAGTCCACTGTGAAGAATTTAAAGGGCCAGTGCTCCTGATAATGCCCAAGTTTCAGTTTATCCAATGTCCAGAAGATGGCGCTCTATGATCAGCTTTGCTCATGCTCTGAACTTTTCCACCAGACATGTGAAAAAGATTCCAGGATGATGTCTTGGAGAGATTGTGTTGGTGACTGTAGGTAACATGCTTACTGTGTATTTTCCACTGCAGTTCAGAAGATGTGGTGGTCAAGCTGTCTGGAAGTCAGTTGACATTGGACTACCTTGAGGAGAATGGTTTCAATGAGCCAATTCTCGTCCAGAAGAAAGATGGGCTGGGGATGGCCATGCCTGCACCCACATTCTACGTCAGCGACGTAGAAAACTATGTTGGTAAGTGAATTTAGGTAATATATGTTGTTGATTAGAATCTAATAGTAATAAAGTAGAACAAAACCAAGTCTTCCTTCATTTTTCCTTAATTTTGTTCTAATTGTTGTCTACTTTTTTCATTTAAAGGGCCTGATGTTCTTGTGGATGTTGTTGATGTAACCAAACAGACAGACAGCAAGATGAAGTTAAAAGAGTTTGTTGATTTTTACTACAGCACAAACAGAAAGAAAGTATTAAATGTGATCAACCTGGAGTTTTCACAAACAAGGTAAGCAGTCCTTTAAAAAGTTGCATTGGGATATAGCAAAACTTCTAATTTCACAGTTTTACTAAATAATTTAACACAGCAAAACCTAATACACTAAAGCACACTCCTTTTTATTTATTAACATAAATATTAGCAAATTAAATGTAAACATGACATATAGCCTTCTCAATTAAATAAAAATGTCAGTATAATAATACGTGTCATGGGTGTTTTTTTTTTTTATAAGCGTGTCATTTTGAGATTATTTCCTATTCTTCCCTTTATTTCTGTAGAATGGACACTATTGTTGAGAGTCCGCAGATAGTTCGGAAGTTGTCTTGGGTTGACAACTACTGGCCTGATGATGCATTGTTGGGGAAGCCCCAAGTGTCCAAATACTGTCTCATCTGTGTGAAAGACAGCTACACAGACTTCCACATTGAGTGTGGCGGTGCCTCTGTGTGGTATCATGTACTTAAGGTGACTCCTTCATATTTATTTATATCTCAATGCTACTTATTTCTATGGCAAAAAAGCATTTCAAAGTATTTTATTCTTAAAGGTGCAGTGTGTAGATTTTAGCAGCATCTAGCGGTTCGGTTGCGAGTTGCACTAAGGGCTCAGCCCGCTACTCAAGCTACGGTGGCTAAAACGGGACAAACATACCGTCGTCTGAGACAGCAGAAAATAGCCAGAGTAAGCCAAGTTTCTGTACCACAGTCCATAAACCACATCATGGATAAAGTTTACAAAGCCACAGTCAGGTGAGGCTCAAGGGTATTAATATATAATATAATAATAGTAATCAGCTGATTGTCTCACGAACGTAAGCAGCACATATCTCCCAACATAGCAAACCCATAATACAGTGAGGGAGAAGAACCACATGAAACTATCCAACTACATATTTCCTAACAGGGTAGTAAAAGTTTAGCTGGCTAAATATGAGCTGTTACTGTGGCTGAGCTGGTTAAAGCAAGCATTTTTTATACTCGACGTGTCCGCGTGAGTGCAAAGGTGCGAGCAGCAAAAATGATGTGATTGTAACAGTGTGCTCGCCTCCGCATTTCCTAGACACCATTTACTACACACAAATTGATAAATAATAATGAATACATTTATACATTTTTTTCTCTGGTTTTTGAAAACTCTTAAAATGCTTCCAAGGTCGATGGGTTGGTGACTCCTGTAACGTTACCGTTTTACAGTGCTAATAGTGCTAATCAGCTGATTGTCAAAACCATAACACAGCGAGGGAGAAGAACTAAGTTACATGAAACAATTCAACTACATATTTTACACCACTGACGAGGGAAAAGTCACTACTCACGGTGTTTATGGCTAGCTTCTAGGTTTCTGCGGCTTCTCTTTCAAGTTAGTGTCAAAACGCGGTCTGTAGCGATGTTAGTTCGCATTCGGCTACGGTAGAAACATGACGTCACAATATGTCGACCTTCTTTGAAGGGGGTGCCCGCCCGCGGTTATGTAGATATAAATGTCTCATTCTAAGATAATAAAAACATTATGGTTCATTGAGTAAGGTCTTTATACATCACTGAACACATAGTTATGGATCTTATATTGCATTTCTGTCAATAGATCCTCAGAAATATTACATATTGCACCATATTTTTATACAGAATCATTTTTAAATATATAATTTTTTTGATAAATTTTATTTTTAGATTTGATGTGGTGTGAATTAACACCATATCAAACTTAGTAATTTGTTTAGTAACAAATTTATATAGCAATCAGAAAACAACATAAGTTCATAAGTTTATAAAACATAAGTTCATAATATACATTTTTGTTACATGATTCTCTATTGGTCAGTCACCACATTCTGTGGTCATATATTGTTGTGTAGTGGATGTTGAGCTGTATATTTGACCTGTGTATTGTATAGGGAGAGAAAATCTTCTTTCTGATCAAGCCCACCTCTGCCAACCTTTCTCTGTATGAGCGCTGGAGTTCCTCATCCAACCACAGCGAGATGTTTTTTGCTGACCAAGTGGACAAGTGTTACAAGTGCACACTTAAACAAGGGCAAACTCTTTTCATTCCATCAGGTGAGACACTAGGGTGCCAGAATTAAATAAAAAATGAAGCTCTAAGCTCTAACATTCCTTTGTTTTTATTTAATGGCAGGATGGATTAATGCAATACTGACTCCTGTGGACTGCTTAGCCTTCTCCGGGCATTTTATCCATAGTCTGAGCGTAGAGATGCAAATGAGGTCAGTGATCTGCTTCTTTTTCCTTTAAGACAAGCTTTGTATGTGCATTTTTATAGGTTCCCACAATATAGTGTGATGATCTCACACTGCATCATCTTAATGCCTTAATTAGAAAAAATGGGAAAAATCCGATTAATGTTCTTCCTTAAAATACAGGGTGCACAAGTCAGGGCACCCCTATGTTAAATTCCTATAGAGTCAGGCAGATTTTTATTTTTAAAGGCCAGTTATTTCATGGATCCAGGATAATATGCATCCTGATAAAGTTCCCTTGGTCTTTGGAATTAAAATAGACCCACATCATCACACACCCTTTACCATACCTAGAGATTGGGATGGGGTACTTTCCATAAGATCATCTTTCAATGCAAATCAAACCAGCTGTTAGGCTAACAGAAATAAAACCGTGCTAATCTCTAGGTATGGTGAAGGGTGTGTGATGATGTGGGGCTATTTTAATTCCAAAAGCCAAGTGAAACTTTATCGGGATGCATATTATCCTGGATCCATGAAATAACTGGCCTTTAAAGATAAAAATCTGCCTGACTCTATGGGAATTTAACATAGGGTGTCCTGACTTATGTACCCTGTATTTTAAGGAAGAACATTTATTTATTTATGATACATTATTCATACCCCCCCAAAATTGGTTGGATTTTTCCTAATTTTTCTAATCAAGGCATCAATATCAATTTCCAAAAGATGATTTTTTTGTTCTCTCTTTTTAGGCAACTTTAGCATGGGTGTCCTAACTTATTCACATCACTCTATATATATATATATATACAGTATATATATATATATATATATATATATATATATATAAATACGGTACAGAGGGTCTGGTGTGTACTGTAGGACTATTATGTGGGATTAAAAGGCCTAATATCTTTGGCTGTTGCCAATTTAAATGTTATTACATGCTGTTTGCCATCCAGTGACAACTGAAGGAGGGTGATGCAATCGAATCATTCAAGCGTTAAACTTTCGCTGTTCTATTCTTGGCACTTACAAGCCTCTGTAGCAATGAAAAGAAAGAGGGGAAGTCAAGAGCATATGCTTTTGCCTTCTGAAGTGCATTTCTCACATCTGTGAGACCACGATTTCCTCTCAAGGCACAGTTTTCAGTAATCCTCCCTTTGCTTCTCCACTCAGAGCATATGAGGTGGAAAAAAGACTCAAAGTTGCCAGCCTCACTCCTTTTCCAAACTTCGAAACAGCTTGTTGGTATGTGGGGAAATACTACCTGGAGCGGTTTAAAGGTGAGCGAATAATATAAATAAATACAACCTGTTAAAAAAGTGTGGCTAGTTTTTATGTGGCATGTTTGTAGGTATTGTAGTTGCGCAAAACTCACAAGTGAAAAAGAGCAAAGTGTCAGTTTCACTGCAACCATTTACGTTTGCAAACTTAAATCATTCGCAGCGAAATTCCCCTGAAATGGCTTCAAAGGTTTTGCTTTCGAAAATTGCCTCTCCATCCTGCTAGATGGAGATTTATCCCTAATAGTGAACTTTGGGACTGGAAATAAAAAGATCTAATGTCATAAGGTAGACTCAAATGACTTCCTTCTCGCTCGCTTCGTGCGTGATCCTGGAAGGGGCCTGCTGAGCAGACGAGGAGGGTCTGGATGCCCGGCGTATTATTGCAGTCATTACATCGGTGCATCGCGGAGTTCACAGATGATTGGCTTCAAAAGGCAGAATCGCTTGCTCCATTACAACCTGGTGTTTAAACTCCCCTCATCTGGCCTTGGACTACGTGTTTATATTTCCACCATTTTCCCCCCGTCACGTTACTTAATTTTGCCAGATTGCTGTTGCGCGCACATTGCAAAAAGGACCGCAGTTGGTCTCCAAGCTATCTGATGTTCAGATGGAGGAATCAGCTTTCAAGGTCATCTTTTCAAGGGTTCAACTCTCGTGTGTGACTTCAGGTAGGGGAAAAAAGACCTTGGCTCCAGGCCCAGCAGGCCGACTGGGCCTCCGCCAGCTCTATTGCTTTTCCCTTCTCGTTTCACTGTTTCAGCTTTCACTTTATGTTCATGTTATTCATTTAAATGCAGTGTGGAATATATTTCCTGTAGTGGCTGTGTATCCAGTCCAATGTAATCAATGTTGAAGCTGGCGCTCCAAAAAACCGCCCATGACTGTTTTTAGGCCCCTCTGGATTGAAGTAATCAGTTTGATATATGAATGGCCTTTGTTATTGAACAGTAATGGGTCAGGTTGAAAATGTAGTCCATTTTTATCTGCCAGTGCCCCCCTCTTTCGGTGAGTTTCATGCTCTGAGCATTTCTGACAGGCCAGCCACGGTCTTGGGCATTGCTGTTAATGATTTAAGGAAAGTTAGACCTTTCATCAATTTGCCTATTTAGAAAACAGCCCTTTCTAGAGAGGATCTTATGTTACTAATAGGGCACTAGTTGAGTGTTTGGATCCAGATGGGAATAATGGAGTCTGATGCAAAATTTCCTAAACATTTTGCAGGTTTGCACAAGGCGAACAAGCAGCCACCTCCTTACTTGGTACATGGTGCCAAAATTGTCAATGGAGCGTTCAGATCGTGGACTAAAAAACAGGTAAATATTTTTTGATATTCTCTAGTTTCACTGATTTAAATTAAAGGTCAGTTGACAGTGACTCTCATTTTTTGTCTTTATCCAAAGGCTCTTTTAGAGCACGAGGACGAGCTTCCAGAAAACATGAAGCCAGCACAGCTCATTAAAGACCTTGCCAAAGAGATTCGGATTTCTGAGGTGAGACGCTGGAGACTTTGGTTGGATGTCTTTACTCTCATTTATTCAGATATGATCTTGATTTTTATTATGTAGAATGTTTTTGTACATGTTCAATCAGCTATTGCCAGAATCAGTAATGGATGACAACTTCTTCACTGTGCCTTTAACTCAGAATGCAACAAAAGCCATAAAGAGCGAACCCAGCAACTCAAAGCCCCCAGCTGAGGAACCCCCGTCTGCTCCATCAGAACCAGAAGAGCCCTCGTCCCCCGCACACATCTCCTCCCCGCCACGAGATAAGCCAGCTAGGAAGAAAGCCACAAAGCCACCCAAACCACCCAAAATGCCCAAGGCACCCAAACCACCGAAGGAACCCAAAATAAAAGAAGGTGGCAAAAAGAAAGGGAAGAAAGCAAAAGAAGGTATTTTACCTGAGAAAAAGCCCTCGAGTCTGGCGGCTCTTGAATCCCATGCAAAGGACATCCTGAACAAGATGGACCAGCCCAAAAAAGTAATGTTTTTTCATCTGTATAATATTCAACATACAGTATATTGTTTATGCCTATGAAATGACTTAAAAGGGTGTATTATAATTTCCACCAAACATCCATCAAAATGTTTAATACAAGAAGTAAAATGCAAAAAGAAAAAAATAATAAAGGCAAAAAATAGTTATATGCACATTTATATGCACATAAACAGCCATATTTTTGACTACATACACTACCGTTTAAAAGTTTGGGATCTGTAAAAAAATTTGGCTGCATTTATTTGTTCAAAACACTTTTTTAATTATTTTTTTATTTAATCAATTAATTTGAATTTTATCTAATACTTTTTAATAATAATTTATAAATAATTTATTTTTCCTTGTAATATATTTTAAAATAACATGACAAAGTTTCAGCATCAGTCTTTAGTGTCATAATGTTCGTTCCTTCAGAAATCATTGTAATATGCTGATTGGGTGCTCCGTAAACATTTCTTATTATTGTCAGTGTTGAAAACAGTTTAATATTTTAATGGAAACGGTGATCTTTTTTTCATTTGATGAATGGAAAGTTTAAAAGAGCAGCATTTAATGTATCGTTGCTTAAATGTATTCATTTCTTTACTAAATTGAATCTTACTTACCTCAAACATTTGAACGTTAGTGTATATTTTTACTAAAGCTTTTTTAATAAATTGAAAATGCCACAAAGAGACTTCCAGGAACATTTATGAATGCATTTTGAATCTATTCATTAAAATGAACTGAACATAAACAAAATATGATACTGCATGTGCAAAATCATTTTGAATAAAATCAATGTAAATATATCACCCTGCTCTAGATCTGTCAGTATGCACTTTTATCTATTTACAAAAAAAACTTTTATTGTCTCTCACTTCACACAGCTGTTAAAAACTGGGATGAGTATTTTGGAGAAAGAGACGAGTAAACCAAATGACGTTGCAAAGTTCGAGATGATTCGAGAGCATAATAAGAACAAGACGGAGGCCAAATGGAAATATAAGGTACGTTTGTTAGGTTTACGATGTAAGGACACAATTGTAATGAATAACCTTGTGTAATGCCAACATAATGATTTCCTCCAAAGCATCATAGATCAGTGCTAGAGAAGAAGCTTTGAAAATCCACGCAAATAGCATCAAACCCCGACAAGTTGAAAAGTAGCAAGCAGGGCTTTGGGATCATCCAGAAAGTGATTTACACATTTTAGATCAAAGCAATCAGCAGAAATAACTCTGCGGCTCAGTCACTCTCTCTGTTCTGGGATCATCAAAGCAGCAGAACCCTTTACGCAGCCTCAGTTTACCTAATGCTGTAATGCTATGTCATATCCCAGACATGCCAGCTAAGTATTTACATATGCCTTCATTTCTACTATCAAAATGAGCGTGTTGTGTCGTTAATGTTGGATAACATGGGATGGCTTTTGTAGCAATAGCTTAATTCTGGTGAACGGAAGGCATTACAGGGCTTTCGTTCAAGGGGGAAAATTCAATGCCAAACAGCCCAGGAATGTTTGTAGTTGCTCCAAGTCTCCTGATCCGAGTGCTCCTTTGCCGCTCGCCAAACATTTGCAGATGGAGAGAAGCCTCTGCTAGATAGTCTTCAAGGTCATCAGCCGCAAAGGCTTCAGTCTTTGACGTCTGATCACAGTGGACGTGGCTGACAGCGAAGACCCGAGAAGTGAATGAGATGGGAAGAGTCTTCAAGTACTGATGATTGTTTGGTGTTTCTTTTCATCTCGCAGAACAGCAAACCTGATTCGTTATTGAAAATGGAAGAAGAGCACCGATTTGACAGAAGTTTACTCAGCCATAAAGACAATAAATTTGCATTTTCATTGTCGAATAAGAAGTTGCTGGGGTAAGTGCGTTATTAAAGTTCAAATTTCAGGCATGCATTATTAAATAGGCCCATGTTAATAAATATTTTGACATGATCGACAGCCCTAATTTTGAGTCTGTGTTGTCTCTTCTGTCAATCCAACTAATGTTCTTTTCATCTGGTTTCCTCAGATCAAAGATGCTCAAGACTCAGACCAATTCGAGTGTTTTTGGCTCAATACAGAATATTAAAGAAGAAAAGCCCAAGCCTGTGAGAGACGAGTACGAGTACGTCTCTGATGAGGGGGAGCTTAAGATCGACGAATTCCCAATCAGGAGGAAAAAGAACGCAGTCAAGAGAGACTTTTCCTGTAAGGCTTCATGATATGCGATCTGGGCCAGGGTGATTTTCTCATTAAATAAGACATAATTTGAAAGCCAAAAATTATTATATACTTTATAATCAGTTCCAGATGGAATCAGTAGACTTCTGTTAAATTTATTACACTGATTTTGGGCGACAAAATGATTTAAACTACAATCTTATTCGTTTTTGAAAGTATAATAAAATTTGGGATGATAAAACTCTATAATATACAAACACACAGGGGATGGAGTCCAAAAATTTAGATTGGGCAATATCTGTGAATGATGAGTGAATTAAGTACTTAAGATAATTACTTTAGATATTCCTTATTGGTCATGAAACTGGTTTTCATTATTATTTTAATAGTTTTAATATTTTTTGTCCAAATAACAGTGGAATTGTTTAGCCTTTTTTATGAATTCTGAATATTGAATTAGTAGCAAACAGCTCAGGTCAATCTGTTACACTTAGGGCTGTCAAACGATTAATCGCGATTAATCGCATCCAAAATAAAAGTTTGTTAACATAATATATGTGGGTGCACTGTGTATAATTAATTTATATATATAAATACACACACACACACACATGCTTGTATATATTTAAGAAATATTTTCATGTATATAGATTTATATATAATTTATATTATATATAAATATTTTATATACACATATTTTTTTCTTAAATATACCTTCATGTGTGTGTATTTATATATATAGGCCTATATATATATATATATGCAAAATAATTATACACAGTGCACCCACATATATTATATAAACACAAACTTTTAATTTTTGGATGTGATTAATCACGATTAATCATTTGACCGCCCCTAGTTACACTTATACACACGTGTCCACCACATAATATCCTCGATAAACCTCTGATAGTAAAGTTACAGTTGTAATAAAGTTGTAATTTCGTAATAAAGTTACTGGCCACTATACATTTATTTGAATGACTTTTGCTCGTATTTGGCAGTGTTTGTTTGGTCCCTGGGTGGCGCATATGTAGAAATGTGTGAGTGACAGGCATTCAGATTATGTTAAAATCCGTGGGCACTGATTCCATGTTGGCCTAGTACTTATATTAGACACACTGGTCTTTTAACTGATTCAAAAATAAATCTTTCATTTCATGCTATGTGAGAATAATCTTGAACATCTGATGCTATTTGCAGTTTTATCAAACATCAAAGAGCCCATTCTGCCATCGAAAAAGCCAAAGCTACAAACGTCGGACACAAAGGTAAGCATCAACTCCATTTATAGTGCTGGTCCAGTGTTATTTAACAGAACGTCAATAGTATTTCTCTTTAATCAGACTGATTGAATACCCCGATCCGCCAAATCCTTACATATGTTCAAAGCTATGTTAAAACAACAACAACATCTAAATTTAAATGGAGAATTTTCTTAATTGGGTTATTGTCTATGAGTTTATGTGATGTGGTCATGTTTTCATTGCTCATTGCATCATTGCTCTTTTTTGTGTTTTTAGTCTGTGATTGTGAAGCATTTTGGGCAACGTGAGTTGCATTAAACTGTGCTATATAAATAAATAAACAAACAAACAAACAACGGTAAAAACATTAAAAGACTGATTTTGACAGTAAACAGGAAGAATTTAGGACAAAATTCAAATCTCCAATCTTTATTTCATGAAGTAGCTGATTAATTCCTTCTGGATGCATTTAAAACATTGCAGCACTGATGTTCTCAGGCTTGTGATAATTCACCCATAATGTTCTAACTTAAACCAACATACGGCACAAATCAAAGAGAGCGAGCTGCAAGACGAAGCCAAATATCACCTCAAAACTGATGAAGGAAATAGCTGTGGACTGAATCAAATGAGAGCAAGAAAGTTAATCATGACAAAGGCCCGCAGGCGAACTATGTGAGGGGTTACAAAAGGCTACAGGATATACCAATAAAAAAACTCACTAAACTAAGAAAAATCCGGTATATAGAATGGATATTGCTCATGCAAATCGTTCAGCTTCTTGTGTATATTTTGACACATTTACATTATGTACTTCATGTCAGTTTTTTCTCCCCCGCATTGTTATTTCAGAATCTAGATTCATCAGATGAAGAATCGCTCCACATAGACACAGAAGCCAAGACAGAAGTCAAAGGTCGTAACTCCAAGGTCTCTAAGAAGAAAGGGGGCAGTTCAGCTGGGATTCTGGATCTCCTACAGGCCAGCAAACAAGTGGGCGGCATTGACTACAGTAACAACAGGTATGCACGTTGTTATCTATATTCTGGTGTCTGAAAGGCATGAGTTAGCCAAGTCAAATAATAAAGCTGAATAGGTTCAGTTTTCGCTTTGATATTTAAAAAATAATCAATTTTGAGATGTAACTTCTCCAAAATAATTTTATCACGGTTTGCTTTGGAATGCTGAGACTACGGTTTCCGAGAAACATCCCCTCTAGGGCAGCATCGCCATTAATGTTACATTTCAGAATTTATTTATTTATTTATTTATTTTAATTAAAATTTTTAAATTTACAAAAAAAATTGTTTTGTTTTTGTGTAGACTTTGATAGTTTTGTGAAATAAAAGTCCTAGATATTCCATATTTTGGTTGATTTGAATATCTTCAATCTGCGTTATATTTTTTCAATGTGTTAAATGCGTATATACATTCGGGCCGAGTTAAAACAGTTTTAAAGGGGTGATGATCTGAGAAATCAAATTTTCCTTGAGCTTTTGACATCTAAGAGGTCATCATATAAAAATATCCTCTAAGTATCAGAACAAAAAAAAAGCTTTTATTGACACCAGGCTCAGCAAACGACTCGTTTTTCAAAATGGGGAACTATGACGTCAAAGAGGATAAAACACCACCCCTGCAGGAGAAGATCAACGCCTACTTCAACACGGCCAGTTTAGCCCCGCTCACCGATTTGTGTATTACACGCATAGCTAAATAACATAGATTCCTACCTCGTGATGACAAACCGGATCGATAGTGAAACTCATTATAATATGCAAAACTGTTATCCACTCACAGCAGTGGGCGTTTACTTCCAAGTTTTCAATGTGAGACGCCCATAAAAACCGAGCGTTTTTGAGCTGGGCTCAAAACTAGGGTTAAAAATAGCCTATTACTTATTCATTTTGATGTTTTTTGACCAAGTTGACCTCAGACAACAATATATAAAAAATGTTAAAAGCCAGTTCATGACCCCTTTAAAACACATGGCTTGAGACGTCGCATTTCTGTTCAATACTGTTTTGCTCCGTCCATCTGTTTTTGAACCCAAGAATGTGTCTTGTGGGAAAAATCGTGACTAGTATCTGGTGTACACGACCCTAAACTAGTGTAATTATACAAGCAACTAGTTGTTTAGACAATCCATCGACCGGTCATTTGCGCGTATCCCTAGTTCATACATTTTCATGATTCATGTGGTATGTTTTGTACATTACACACGCTAATGTGGCAGAGTATGTATTATGGATATGTTTTGTGTTTGGCTGAGGGCCATAGGGCACATACAGTTTATATGATGAAGCATGTTCCTGACCCTTTAAGAATTAAAACACTTCATATTTCTAGCTTAACTGTTAGTGCTTAAACTTCACACTGTAAACACATCGAGCACAGGCGTTTCTTCATCCGTTGAACAATGGCTAAAGTAATAGTTTGCACGGCTCTTTATAAGCAGTTTACATGTGCTGGCGTTATTTGTTTAATCCCTCTACACTATTAATTTGTCAAATACAGCAAAAGCTTTAGGCCATTCCTCTTCATTTTACTGTTTGCTGTTTTGGGCACATTTTTGATGGTCTATTTCCACTGCGCTGAAAGCTGCAAATCAGCTCAAACTCAAAATGAGAAGGAAAATATGGCTAAAATATGTTAATTTCTCAAATTATTTTTTTGTGCTTTTAAACCTGACATGACTGCAGGATTGTGGGGAGGAAATGCCTCCAGTCAGTTGCGACCACATTAAACAAGCTCTTGACTCATTGTTCCACCTCACTGGTTAATCACTTAATAGGTGGTAATCTGCAAAGGCTAAATCTCTATTTTTCTGCTAGTTACCCCAAGCTTGGAAGCAGATGTGGACACAATAGTCTTAGTTTACACGGTAGAATCTTCTTGTGACAAGAAAGAGATTTAAATGATGAGGAAATTAACTTTTTATTGGCAATGAATGTTTAGTGACAGGTAAGTTAGAAAAGCAAGAGACAGATGTGCAAATTAGTGGTTTATTGAATGAGCAGATTTGATTATAAGACAGCACAGGTTCAGTTTTGGTTGAATGAAGGTTCAGTATGATTGAAAGCAGAGATGTTAGGTAATTTGGTTTGCCTTTTGATAACACACCTTGGATTGAATCTTAACTAGGATTTTCGAGTTAGTTTTCCAAGCCCACCCATTAGCTTTACATGTTCAGTTGATTAAAAATGCCTGAGAAGTCCACATGACATTGTCCTACATCAGCTGCAGTGAAAAAGCTCTTTGGCCACGATTGACATCAACCATTTCTATGGTGGGTTAAAGGTGATGTGTAATGTTTTGAATATTATAATGTTATACTGTAATAAGTCAAATATTTGAATATTGTATACAACTTTTTTTCAATTTACATTCACAGTCGACTATAAGTAAACTATTAGTATTTCCTTAAACTGGGTTTCCATCCTATTTTTATGCAGATTTTGGGATATCGCCAGTGTTGTTTTAGTATTCATTTATACTGTTATAAACATTTTAAATTACATTTTATTTTTACATTTATTTGAATTTTTAGTTTAGGTTCCAGTAATCTTTCATATTTCTATTTAGTTTCAATTTAAATGAGCTTGAACTTATTTTATTTCATTTACTTGCTAAGACAACATTTCTAATTTCGTAATATTTATGTTTGATTTATATATATTTTTTTTATCATTATTTCAATTCATAAAAAAATGTTTAGTTAATAACATTTTTGACGGGATACTGCATAAAATACTGGATTGAAACACTAAGATGCAGATAAAAATTTAATAATGCACCTAAACTGTACATATTTGCACGCATTTTTTAAATTCAGCAAGTAAACATGAGAAGTAGTTACAATGGAAAGACATTTACTTAATAGTAAATTGAATGTGCATCAAAAAAATAAATAAATCATGTGACTGCCTCAAGTCATGTGAGTGAATAATTTGGCCTGGAAATACTGCTTTATTTGCTAATAGCTTTTCATGGTTTTATTATAAATCAAATTTGCAGCTTGACAACGTATATCTATCATCATTAACCTGACCGGTAACGCCTTCTTGGGACTGTTCTTTCTGCTACACTAGTGGCGCAAAAATTACACACTTCACCTTTAAGTGTCCATCTCCATTCTCATTGCTCCCCATCACCCGACTCACATCCTAAAATTTCGAATCGCTTCTCATTCCCACTGACACTTGGAGTAATGTGCGTGTGTGTTGTGTATTTCTCATTGATGGACTTACAGTCAGCCACCTGCATCCCCCAGCACACAGGAGGCCATCCAGGGCATGTTGTCCATGGCTAACCTGCAGTCATCAGACTCTTGTCTGCAACCATCCTGGAGCAATAGCCAAGCTAAGAACAACTCTCACAGCAGCTCAGCCAGCAAGAAGCCGAGCGGTGCAGCCGGAGCAGGAGGGAACAGCAAGCGACCAGCCAAACGCTTGCCCAAAAAGACGCAAAAGAGCAGCAGCGTGGACAGTTCGGACATGTTCGACGATGACCAGGACCACATGGACGCGTGCTTTAGGGATTCTGACTATGGTAAGTTCTTCAAACAGATTATTTTACTGTGCTTAACGTGATAGTTCATCATGGAGAACACAGAAGATATTTTGAAAAATGTGATTGGTCAAAAATTTTTCACTCTATGAAGTGATTTAGTGTTGTTTGAACCTCTAAATGCAGAAGAGAACTTATTTTGGGATTGCACGCTGTTTGACAGGTGGCTTTGTGCGCATGTGCATACGAGTACAGCATTGTTTTCCGTGGCTTATTGTGCTTAATAACTGTTTTTGACATTAAGCACGTCCCAGACTGGACACATGACTGATGCTATCTGCGTCAAGTCGACCTATCTGGGCTTTTCGTAACTTTTTGAACTATTAAAGTCATGCATATAGCGATTTGCACATCCCCGATGTTTCAATAATTTCGATATATATCGTGCAGCCCTAGTTTTAATAGCATGAGGGGGTGAGTAAAGTAGTTTTCATTTTTGGGTGAGCTATCCCTTTAAGAACCCATTTGGAGAACAGATTGTAGTTCTCTCGTACCTTCATCTTGGATAGCTTGTTTGCACTATTATCAAGACCAATTAGTTCCTCTGAGACAATTTGTCAAGGATGTTTCGTGATGACTTGGAATTGCCCAGGTGTCCTTAGAGCAAAGCAAAACAGTGTAAATCTGCTCTATCAACGTTCTGATTAGAGTTTGATTTTGACTTAAGGGTTCTCATTCACGGCACAGTGACAGGCGTGTTTACTCTCAGCTAGAACTTTTCAATCCCCCTTTTTGAATGGTCTCTTTTATAGCTTTTGTGAACCCCTTCCAAGAACAGCAAGACCATTAGAAGCCTGTTAATAATCCATTAGCATGAGTTTTAAACTGTTGTTTTAAATGCTTTTGGATCTGATACCCTAATTAGTCATTACTAGCACGCACATTCCCGTTTGGACTCACACTAAGAGAGCATTCCTCCTTTCTGTAAACATTTTTTTTCTTTTTCTTGATAATTTAATTGTTGGAAATTGCGTGTTCCTGAGTGGTTGAGTTCAAAGAAGCTAGGTGCATGCAGGACGAGGCAGGGCAAGGAACAGCTGCCATGCATCTGTGTCACGCTAACATCCTGTCCAATGCGAAAATACTTAGCACTGTAGTTTATGGAGTGCAAAAATAGGGTGGTTTCTCATGTATAAGCAGTGTTTAAAAGTAATGTGCTGCTTCAACGTATTTACATTGCTTTCTTTAATGACTTTAGACCATACATATAGCGCTCCAAGACAACAAAAATTTCCAGAAGAAACTAAAATGGTGGAATCTGTAGAATTAGCTAAGTTTTGCCTTCTTTAATCTTGTATTTTTCCATCCCCCCCTAGTATATCCATCTCTGGAATCCGAGGAGGACAACCCAATTTTCAAATCGAGATCGAAAAAAAGGAAAAATACAGATGACACTCCATATAGTCCAACAGGTAGTGCGAAGTCTCCAATTTCAGGTGGGAGTCCGACTATAATGTAAATGTAATCACATGTGATTATATTCATACTGTTGCAGCACGAGTTGGGCCCTCTGTACCACGACAGGAGAGACCGGCTCGGGAGGGGGCACGTGTGGCGTCCATAGAGACAGGACTGGCAGCTGCGGCAGCTAAATTGTCTCATCAGGTTAACTCTTTAAGCTCATAATGAAGCGGTTCATTCAGTGCAATGCCCAAATGTTTACATATCAATTTAAAAACATTTACTGATATTAAGAAATTGTTACAAACGGTCACAATGGATGGGTTATTTAACAACTTTAGGATTATCTGCATTTGCAGAAATTATAGGCAACAAGCCTTGTAAATGAAATTAATTTTTATCTTCTACTTTTAAATTGAGTAAATTCTAGGGCTGTACGATTAATCTATCAAGTCGTAGAGGCTGCAAATTAATTAAATAAATACATGCGCTGAGTGTTTCAGAGTGAAACGCTGCTCTGTTTGTTGTTGTTGTTTTTTTTACATGCGAGCGGCTCGTGATCCTGTATTTTCGGTGTCTTAGTAAATTCTGCTCCACACAGACTCATCTCTGCATCTGCTCTGAGTTTGGGTTGCTTATAATGTGCATTGGGAAACATAACATGCACAAACCATCTTCCCAAACTTGTAATGAGAAGCACTTATAAACCAGCTACTGTCAACAAAAGAGAAGCTGCGGTTTTCTGCTAAAATAAAACTCACTTGGTTTAACATTTGAAAATGAAGAAATCAAGAAAGCCAGTATTGAAATTATAAAGTTGTAGTCTAAAAGAAAATGTTTCTGTTATTTTTCTTAAATGCTATTTTTATTTGTGTATATTACAGTAAAATAATTACATTTTGAATTTTGTTCAATATTTTTAATTAGTAATGATAGTAATAGTAAAAAATAATATATTTTTAAATTTTATACTCAAATCAAATTTGCCAAATTGTGTAGCCCTACAAACAAGTGTGGGCAAATTTTATCAGAAAAATCCCAATTCGACCCCCCCCCCCAAAAAAAGTATTTAATAATAGTATATTTGCACGGATTTTTATGTAAAATTAAGAAATATTTTGGTCCTGCACTATTTAGGTTGCACATTGATGGCATTGTCCACATGAACTCCTTTGTGTCTTGAAGCACAATATGCTCTTTGAATCATTTCCAAATCCTGCCAGAGAAGATGATCATCGGGTTTTTCCCAAACTTGTGGGAGTTGAGTGTCGTTACAGTTAAAGAAATCCTGAATCCTCTCTAATAGTTTCCATTTTCATAGAAACATCTGTAAGACTGATTTAGCTAAATTATCCTACTAACTAGTTCTCGCTACAGGAGGAGCAGAAGATTAAGAAGAAGAAAAAGAGTACCAAAAAGAAGCCCGTGGCTGTAGAGGAGCCTCACAAACTCTCTCAGGACAGCAGCTCTCCAGAACCCACCCCAGACTCCGAGAGCAACCTGGCCGACCACGAGTACAGCACTGGAACGGGCAAAACCGCCGGCGGCTCGCAACCCATGGCCCCCGGAGTCTTCCTCAGTCAGAGGCGGCCTTCATCATCGTCATCATCTCAGAACACCTCATCTGTCCCGCCAGCAAAAGTCGAACGTGGGAACTCGACGGACGCCAAAGGTGATTTTAGCCAAAACATAAATAGGATAATTTTGTGACGAGTATTAATTCATGTTGTTTATGTTGCACTGGCCAATCTGAGAGTCACAATTTCCGCACCATTTATCATTTATTGACACAGCTGTGGCTTAATAATGTATTGATGCGAAAGGATGTTGTTGTCGCATATGCTAACCATTTTGCTTTGTCTCGCCCACAGCCAAGAAGCTAAAGAAAGGAATGGCGACGGCCAAACAGAGACTCGGAAAAATCTTAAAGATTCATCGTAACGGCAAGCTCCTGCTGTAACATGGACAATGGGTGACTCAGACTTTCTCCTGATGTTTATGGACCCGTGGACTGATCCCCCCCTCCGCCCCCCTCGATGAGCCGGGATGAGAGCAGCAAGGACTGAAACGGACGGGAAAGCTAACAGGATCCCACAAGTTTTCAATTTCTAAGAAGAACATAGCTCAGATAGGTTTTTGCCTCTTCTTTTACTTTATAACTTTCAGATACTAAAAATGTACAGAATACCTGCTATTAATATTTTGTAAGAAGATTTGTCTTTGTTTTACTATGGCTATCAGTTTATCAGGGGTTGCTAATATATTATAAGATACAGTACATAGCAGTCATTCCAAGACAAAGAAAGTATCCCTTGCATGTATTCCAGTTGCATGCATTGTTTTTGGGAGGGAAAGGGTTAGTGGAAGGTTGCAAACAAGAAGTTCATTACTGCTTTTTGGATGTGGCTTATCATTATTATTATTATTATTTGTATTTTTTTTTTTACAAGTATCACTAAAGAGGATTTTCACTAACTGCCTGGGTGATTTTAAAATCCCCCATTTGGAATTTACTTTTACTTTTTTTTTATATGCATTACTTACACAGAACAACTTGAAAAAAGTACTTTTCTGCTTGCTAAGCACTATCACAGATAATATTTATTGATCTAATATAATTGTACATGTCATAGGTAGCTTGAGAAAAGCCAGAAGGCACTTACAAAACAACAGTGAAGCACAAATATGAACTCATTTTGTTAGTAATGTTGTCCCAACAGCTACTGTAAAATGATAACTGTAGTTTTTTTTAATTACAAATATAGGAAAAATTAGTTTTTGTGGGGAAAAACATTAAACATGCATATCGATAACATATTTCCACTTAATTACATGCTTAAAATATCTTATTTTACTGAATTGTAACCGCATCTTAGAATTTTTTTAAATTTATATATTGTTTTATCATTTTTAGACATTATGCAATCAGATTTACATCATCCTGTTTTTCACATTATTTTGTTTGACAATGTAGCTCTTATTACGGTTCCATTATACGTACAAAACACTTGCCAAAAGCAACAAAACACTACATTAATGGGATCTCTAGCACTGATGATAAGCCTCATCCATGACATTTCACTACATGGGATACTTTCTCTCTTCTGTTTGTTTCACAGGCAGCACCAATTACCCTAGAATGAAATATGCATTTATATTGCTTCACAGTACAGTATGTAGAATGTAGCCTGTATATAGCTTTTTAAATGACTACTTTTTGTATCCTTTTTTCCTTAATACTTCATTATACATTTTTACTAGTTTTTTGCTAATTACAAACAAAAATATATATAAAGATATAGAAATAGTCATTACCTTTTTCATTTTTTTTTTTGTTAGATACACAATAGCTGTACTTTTTTAACCATTGTTTTGTTCTCATTTCATTTTGTTACATTAGACAAAAGGTGTTGCCTGGAGAACAAAATACACAGTGTAACATTTATTCTCATATGGCCTTACATGCAGAAAACCATGTGTATTATGATTCATTTATGATGGGGGATAAGAAAAAAAAAAAAATCAACGTTTCTACGACCAGCCTGACATTTGAGCTAAAATACCCCTGATGGATTTTAAAAGTTATTTTACTAGCACCTTGTGAAGTGTTTTCTGTGTCAGTGATGTAATTTATTAATGTTTGTAGCCTTTTATACTTGTATAATTCTTAAGAGGTTTTGTTTTAAATCGTTTATCAGTCTGTGAGCCCCTTAGGACACTTCTATCATTAACATTGGGCAATAGTTCCTTTTTTTTTTTTTGTCTAAGCAAAATTTGTCTTCATTGTTTTCATCAAATCAAGTGCAACTGCTCTCATCAATACGAAATGTTACATTATTACTGTTATTATTATTAAGCAGCTATTTTAAATATCCATACCATCATGCCATGAGTTTTATTTTGGTAATAGAGTATGTACATTCTTAACCAGGTTTACTGTGCTCATAAATTGCAGTGTTTTAGTTACCAATGTAAATCTCGTATCCACCTTTCCGAATCGAAACAATGGAACTATTTCAGGTTTTTATTTGTACAAAATGTGTGTTGCTTTGTTGTGGTTTATTTTTATATGTTCAAACAATTAAATGCATCCACTGTTTCATGGCAGTGAATGATACTTTTGTAGTAGTGCACTCTGTTTTCTGACTCACAGAAGATGTTTTGAATTAACACCCGTCATGTGTTTGCAGAAATGCCCTATTTTCTTGCCGTTTATATTTAACCTTTTCTATTAGGATTTATTGCCCCTTGCATACTTTGTTATTCTAATGCAATGAGTTGCTCATTATGTATATGAAGTCTGTTCCCATGCCATAACGGCACACAAAAGTCAGTTTTGGTAACATGTTCTTCCACCGTTCATATGGAATGGCAGGGCTACACACGTTCCCTGGAACATGCTGTGGTAATTACCTTTAAATGGGCTCATGCTACTGTACCATTCAGGTCTGATGCCCTGGAGAAACTCTCGACTCGCACACAATCCCCCCATTTAGAACCACATTGTCCACCGGGAGCCGACCTGCACTTTTTGCTTTTGTTCTTTAATACACGGCTAAAGCCAAAACACCAGCGAGTCCAGTTCATTTTCATGAACCAAGCCAAGGTCAACAGTGTTAATACTCTATTCGTGTTGCCGGACTCTGCCATATATAGTCTGAGCGTTATTTGGAACTGTGTATGTGTAAGGGGACGTGTGTAGTGTCCTATTGAACTTATGAAATCTTTGCTCTGTAAATTATGTTTGTGTCTTTTCTTTACTTCCTAGTGGCTTCCAATAGATTTTAAAAGCAAGGACTCGTTTTCAACGTCTCTTGTCTTGACCTGATTTGCGAGGATTGGAGGTGAACATGCAGAGAGCCACCAGGTGGAGATAGAAATCCCAGAAAATGCATCTGTTGCTTGCTTCTCAGTGGAAAGGGCTGGCAGGTACATTTGCTCCACTTATGATATCAGTTTAATCAAAATAATGAATGTACATCACAATAGGTGCTCTAAACAAAATGCAGGGTCTTTTTTTGAGAGGAAATTTAGACAATACAGCCTATCGTTCAAAAACAATTGTCCATAAGCAAACGATTACTGTAAAAACGTGGCCTCAACCAATTTCACATTTTTTATGTTTACTTTCTTCCCTTTGGTCTTTAACGTTTCGCACGATACGGCATAAATCTTAACGGCATGACATACATTTCAAATAATTTAGGGTAAAACCATATTTGAGTAGGTATTTGTTATTGTTGGAGTATGTTGAAGGGTTCCACTCTCAACATGAAAATGCAGATTTTGTCATCGACATCTGCCACGTATCCCACACGGCGCAGAGAACGCCACAGCTCATTGCCTCCTGGTGGACCCCCCACCCCCAAGCAAAGTAGCACCCAATGTCCCCCCTAAGTACTTTGTAGCGTATTAATGATGTTTATCTCTGAGAGGAATTGCAGAAGAGGCTCGTATATCAGGCCTAACTTGTTCCTGCCACCAGTTTGTTTGTCTGTGCACAGCAGTGTTTAGCAAACATTGTTTTAGCAGTTAGTTAACATCAGAAAAATCAGCGCTATTTCAGAAAGATGGAGTATGACTGATTTGGAAGTAATCGGGTGGTTAAGCCCTTTTTAAAAAATGGTTTCACTTTATTTTACAGTAAGTGCACTTATGTGTGCTTACAGTGTACTTACCTAACAAAGTACTGTGTAATATAAGGTAACTATGTGTTAAGGTTAGGTTTTTAGGGGTATGTTTCAGGGTTATTACCTAGTTATTACCCAGCTAATTGCAATTACTATAATACGTACATGTGGACTGTAAAATAAAGTGCAACCCAAAAACAATAACGATGTATGTAACATTAATAGAAAACCCTAACATCTCTATTCATGGGTTCTGAGGCCAAATATCTTTTAATGCTATGCTTAAACCAATACATTAATGCATTGGACTATTTCAAAACTTAGATTAACAGTAAAACGTTTAGACACATCTACTTTTTTAGAATTATCCAGAATTAAGTAAATTCATGAAAAATATGAAACTTTGCATAATTACAACATTTTCCTTCAATGTTTGGTCCAACTTAAAAATAAAAAATAAAATAAATACATTTTTTACTAAAAAATTATTATTATTTTTTTACAATACTGGAAATTATTTCTACAAAATTTATTTTATTTCATAATTATTTGGGAGGAATTTTTTACTCCCCAAAATAATTGAAAGAAAATACAAAGTATACCGAAAACTTGTATTTATTTATTTATTAGTAAAAATGTATTTAATTATTTGTTTTATTGTTTAAAGTAAATCAATTTTTACCAAAAAAATAAAATTTTAATTATTCAAAATGATTTCAATTATTTAGGGAAAAGGGAGTTTTTAAGGGCACAAGAAACATGAATTAACTGTAGCCAAACTTTTGACTGGTAGTATTTCCAAATGCACAGATATGAATAAGAAAATACTTACATTTAAAATGCACTCTTCATCCGCAGGGACATTTGTCCGATGTCCTTAGTGTGTGTTATTGTTCAGCTTGTGGACGGCAGATGACTAAATCACTGCTGGTCATTCTCCTCGACAAAAAATCCTAGAGAAAAGAACAGGCACGTCAGCTACATATAAAAAAAAAGTTCAGTTTTGCACTGGATACGGATTGTGAGTTTGTTTCATATTTTAAAAGTGTTCCGATCAGTGTTGGGGAAAGTTACTTTTAAAGTAATGTGTTACAACATCGCATTATTTCCTTAAAAATGTAACTAATTGTGTTTTATGGAAAGTAACGCGTTGCATAACTTTTACATTACCTTTCCTCACCTGGGCTGGACTTTCACCAAAAGTGAAATGACGCAGGAGAAAAAAAAGTAACTTTGATTGTAATTCAGAAATTTAAAAGCCTTACCTCACTTGTTCATTTAAAACCGATTACTTGTAATGTGTTACTTCCAACACTGGTTCTGACGAAACAGTACAGGTGATGTAATCAAACACTTTTTTTATTAATATGCTTTTATGCTTTTTTTAAGGACAATGTCTACAGAATTTCTGATGTTTAGAAGACATTCTTTCGTTTTGCCAATTTTTATGTAGCCTTTTCCTTTCAGCTCTATGCATGTTTTATACCACTGTCACTGGGCTTAAAATCATTTCTGAGTCCAATAGGAATTAATTCTAGGAGTCTTTAGCAGGGCAAGTGGTTTTATAATTGCAGTGTCAGGGGAGTCCAGGTGGATCTGCTGAGTGTCATATTTGAGCTTATCTCATGGTGATCATATGCAGTGTAGCGGTCACAGATGTGGACTGTGATTTCAGTAAAAGCCCTGCGGTCTTATTAACAAGCCCCCAGTGGTTCAGTGAAACGTGCCATGCAGAAGATGCTTTAATTGCATTGGAATGTTTGAGCAAGTCCTGTCTTTGTGTGGCCTAGCAGTGATGCAGGCATCGCTGTGTGTTATTGGTGGTCTTCAGTCTCGCAGTATAGGGTCTTAGAAGTTACATTCCTCATTGTTCAAGAAGATTTTTGCAGAGGGGCGCAAGGTCCCAGTGATGCCCCTGAAGTAAGGGATCCTTTAGGGACTTTCTGTTTTATGTGCATGTGTCTATATTCAGTTCAAAGTTTTGTGGTCAGTAAGAATTTGTTCTTCTTTCTTTTCTGTTTTCAACAGTAAAGACATTTAAAATGTTAGAAAAGATTTTGTATTGTGGTTTCCTCATAACTGTTGCATAACCGCATAACTGTTCTGGTAATGTTTTATAGTGATGTCCCATTAGTTAACGTTTGTTAATGCATTAACTAAAATGAACTATCAATGAGTAATAGATTTGTTACAGTGTTTATCTTTGGTGTATCTTTTGTGTTGGTCCATAAAAATACATCTATTGATTGTTAGTTCATCTAAGCTCAGGTCTGTTAAATAATATTCATTAAATAAAACATATACAACTTTTGATTTAGTCCATTAGTAAATGTTTAAATGCATAATCACTAAGATTAATAAATCCTTTGGAAGTATTTTTTAAATGTATGATTTTTTAAATGTATGTTAATGTTAACTAATGTAGTTAATGTTAACAAATGGAACCTTATTGTAAAGCTTTACCTCTGTTTTCAGCACTAAATATTACACACACAAAAAAAAAGGTTTCTTGAGCACCAAATCAGTATATTAGAATTATTTTTGAAGGATCATGTGTAAAGATGCCATTTGCCATTACAGGAATTAAATACATTTTCATCTTATATATATCTGAGCTTAGATTAATATTTATTTTGAATTATTTAAATTGTAATAATATTTCACTACTATATTATTGTTTTTGCAGCCTCTGTAATACTTATTGTATTGAGGGAAAAATAATTTCTCACTCGAGGCCTTTGGGGTATATACAGTATACCTGATAGGAAGAAAAAAAATATAATTAGTATTAGATACTGTATAATACTAATTATATTTTTTTCTTCCTATAATTAATATGGTCCTGTTTTTATAGGTCAGGGTTAAATTGCAATACTCAATACAGGTGGACTCGGCTTCATCTACGTATTTAACAAGTGGAGAAGCCTTGGCCTGAAAAAGGCTTGAACCACTGATGACACCAATAGGTTACAACTAAATGATCTGACATCCTGAAATGTTTTAAAGCAGTTGGTCTAGCTATGAGGCCATAAGTGTGGGTACCAGAGCTGATTAAATAAGTGGGTCACGTGAAGTGGAATATTCCACCTGCAGAAGATACCTGAAAAAAAAGTTACAAATGTTGTAGACTTTTTGCCAGAACTTTATGAATGGGCATATCTATGCCTCCATTAGCCAATAAGCTTTTCCCCATCAGGCCTTTAAACTCTCCATGACCCCCATTCACATGAGCAGTTGTGAAGTGTTTCACACTGTAGTGTGATCAAATCCTTGTGACGTGAATAAACATCTATAATCGCAACCTTTCAGTTCGGCATAAACAGAGAAGCCCAGCGCCAGATGCAACAAATTTAGGGTTGAGGCTTGCAAATGCAAACATCTGGTCTTTTACCATACATATGAAACCAGCCATTTTCTATGTAAGCAACCCCAATGACCATAAGGAAACACTTGGGCTGTAACTTAAGAGTAGAGTCAGTGTCCCCAAATAACAACGGTTTGACCCACAAGTTAATTTCAAAAACTAGTATTTAGTATATTGTACATTTCCCAAAAAAGTCCATAGTATCATGTTTGTATTTTCAATGCAATGAGTGACACTCATCTCTGTATCAATCTGTCCCCAGATCTAACAATACACATCTGCCTATCATTTTCAATATCATGATCATACATGAAATTAAACCTGTAATCCCATTCTGCCTCAGCAAAAAAAAAAAAGAAGAAAAAGCAAAAAACGGTTGTGCAAGGATTGTGTTCAGCTGGCACAGGGAGTTTCCCAAATACAATTACTCTGTTTACATGCAGTAGTACAAGACGGAAATTGCTTTTGAAAGTCTTTTCCAAGGACACGGTTTGGTAGGGCTCATGTGTACACAATTATTTAGATGAAATTTAGCACCACTCCATCCATCGGCTAGTAAGATGGGCCGTTTTACTTTAGCAAATGCTCACTTGATCTGTGACCGCCCTCATTGTCAGAAGCCACAAAGGCTGAGCGCCCTCCTTAACTCTGAAGTGCAAGAGTGCTTTGAGCGCAAGGCAAATAAACAAACGTGTCAAAAAGACTCTATAATCTTCCATAATATTTGACAATCCCTCCACCATCTACTGTATACCAACTATAGGCCTGTAAAGGGAAAGAATACGAATCGTCATCGTACCACACACCGATGGTGGTCAACTGTCTTTCATTATCTGTCATTTGAGTGGACATTTTGGTGACGTCGATTCAAATGCACTTTAAAATTGGCCCCGCTCTCCACAAAGTTTGGTTTATTATTTAGCGGACAGACGCTTAATAAGAGGAGATTGGCTTTCTGCTGAGTGTGTAACAGATATCTAAATCATTAGGGCTTTCTTTCTGCCATGTGCCACCCCTCGGTTCTCTGCCCTCTGAACCCTGAAGGTCAAATGGCCGCGAGCTCTGTGACCCCCAGCATTTCCTTCGAATATTAACAGGCTTGTTATGTCGTCAAACGGGCCTGATATAGACCATGGCCTCATTTGGAAAAAGCCCAATCAGTGCGAACAGCTCCAGAGTTCAGCACTTCGGCCTCAGAACGGCAGAGGCTTTCAAGTGTCTCATTGGAGGCATTATGATAACACAGAGAGGAAGTGTGGGGCATTTGGGGGAGAAATTATGTGGTCACATGCCCGCCGGCTGTAATGCCTCAGTTAAATTCGGCTATTGCACTTTCGGGCTATGGAAGAATGAATCGAGTTAGTTTATGTTACAGAAACGAATGTGGCACGGTCATTTTAAAGCTTCTCCAGGCTGATGTGAGGCAGACCACTACAACTGACAGGGATTATTCTTCGCTCAATTTTGGTCCGTTTAAAGTGGAGCATTTAAAAGGGAGCATTTCAGCCTGCTTTACCACAAGTATGCGGAAGATCTAAATAATTATCAGAGCTCTGACAGCCGCTCTGTTTCAGATGAGTTTTGAAGTTCTAGTCAAGAAGACAGGCATCTGTTTTTGGAGGGAATTGATTCTGTATGAGAGATCTGATTTTTATAAATCAGTGCTATTTACAATGCTGGATGGCAACAATTTAAAAAAAAAAACTTAACATGTAGGCCTATTAATGTGAAATTATATGTTGCCAATCCCGCAAGAGCTCTGGAAGAAGTCTGATTTTGCAGCTATATTGAACCCTTGCCCAGGTCAGATCTCATTTAACACCAAAAGGGTGTATGGCAAAAATCACTCATGTCACATTCTCCACCTTGGAGCATGCAGCAGATGCAAGGTGCTCATTCTCCAAACTCCGTTGCCCGACCTTTGGCTCCCTGGAGTGTAAATAATTGTCGATTTTTTTCTTTAAACAAAATTGGAGAGCTAGCGGAAACAGCAGCGGGGTTAGCCTGTGTCTGGCTCAGGTGCTTTCACATAGTTATACAAAGCCAACATTATCACACCTCTCAGTCTTTACTAAAAGATTTAGTTCAGTGTATTTGGTTAAATATTCAATAGAGTTAATATCCTGTTGGACATTTGTATCTGTATTTGAACAGCTTGATTTGGAGTGACATTTAGGAGAACATTTTTAGTTCATGTTGTCATCATATTTATATGCATGTATAAAATAAACTAGTAAATAAAACTACAAGAAAATGTAGGTGCTTCTTAAAGGGCTAGTTCTGTGGTGAGAATTTAATAGTGTATTACAACATTTATTCAGTCCAGTAGCCTTGATTTAATGACATTTAGATCAAATACATTTTATTAGAGTATTAAAATAATTTCCTTTAGTTTTACAATTCATTTTTGCGAGGTAAGTTAGGTTCTAACAATGACATTATTGTACAATATGTACATTGGGTATTTCGAAACGTTTGAATATGATGAATAAACATGAAAATAGTTTGAAACACACAGGCTAGTAAGAAAGCACTTTAAGACAGTTACATACATTTAAATACGAAGTAACAACCGTCCGTCATCTCTTTTAATTTAATAGACTGGGGAAAACATTTATAGCCTTCGACATTGTTGTCAGCATTTTTATATAAAGCAATTGGTCCTGGTAAACTAGAACAACTAAAGTATCTCGTGAATATTCCTAAATCCATTCTGTTTTGCAGGGTAAACATCTCAACACTTACCCCGCATCACCGGTGACAGGCTGCACTTGACTCGCTCATCCCGCCCACACGCGCTGTATCTGCCGCTTTAATCAGGAAAACATCCGCGAGCGTTTGTGCTGCGGAAATGGACCGTGACCGCTGATGGCGGGAAGATGGATAAGGGCTCATCTTCAACCATTGATGTTATCGCGCCCAGCGTGAAGGGCTGAGCCGATAATTACCGTCTGCTGTGGTCAAACACTCGATGACAACAACACCTGTAGATCCGCGGAACATCTGCCCTCTAGTGCCGAGTAAACATGCTGCTGTTACCGCGATGCTGTGGACTCTTTGGCTAGTTTTACTCCAGTAAATATTCACCAGGTAGGTTTATTTTTGAATAGTTTCTGTATAGCAACATTCCTTCCGATATTAGCCCACGAAAAAACATGGATTTCCTCAATAGCTGGACACTAGCCAATTTGCTATTAAAATATTGAAGATTTCAGCAAAACTAGTGCAAAAGCAACAATTTAAAAGCTAGGCTAAGTAAGAAAAAAAATTGTTTTGGTCACCAGAAGTAATATATTTGTATAAAATTAGCTACAACTTTTAAAGACAACTGCTTAGCAAAAAATTACATTTATGAAATCTTGAGTACAGTTTAAAAACATTTTGTTAAAAATGTAAATAGACCTATAAGCCTAGTTGATGAAATATATAATAATATACAAAAGTTAATCAACTATAATTAAAAATCAAAAAGAAAAATTGTTTTTGGGAAAGTGTTGACTAATCATAGGCTATTAGGATTTAATAAAACCTAAAGTTCTGAAAGAGAGTATGGGTGTGCAGTAATTTGCAGTTATTATGCTCCACCAATTCATTTGTTAGACCCGTGGAGTCCTTAGGAAATGCCATCTGCTTTGCCAAGCGTGGATGAAGAACAATTTGGGGGTCTATGAATAAATAAACACTTCCACCAGGCAATAATAATTCATGCGTTTTTGTCTTTGAGCAGGGCGCAGATGACACAAGGAATTCATATGCAATGCATTCCCCCGAATTAAAACTATAAATAGATGGCAGCAATCACACAAAATAAATGAACTGTCAAAGCAAAACTATTTACAAGCAGAGCAGAATCCCTGCAATTAAAAGCAAATTTGTTGCATGTTTGAGTAAGTGGTAGCAGATAGGACACAGAAGCAGCCGGCCGTGACAGACAGATTTGGAGTGGTCTTTCGGCTCTTTTCGCATGGTCATGGCTCTTAGGAACATTGGCAGAGAACAAAACAGCCACTCCACTCGTATACCTTACCATTTTACACCAGAGAGTGAGTTGACAGACATCTGCAGAGGCCATTACACGCCCCACAATTATGATGTCAAGCACCATTTGCTATGCTGTTGTATAGACGAGTCGCTTTCAAAATATACTATTTTGTAGCCCACTGTTATCACTAGATCATTGTGCCTGTAAATACCCACTGTGTTTAACTCTATTCCACTGTTTAGAATTGTTTATGGGAATGCCATGACACTGGAAAAATCAAATGTCTCTAACAAGGGGAAGATAAAAATATTTAAAACCATTTGGACATTCATCTTATTTTGACCATTTACCGTTAGGTCTTATTTGAGTTTTCCAATTCCTCATATAAGCTAAAACGCCTATATGAGTATAAATTCAGAAACAAAAAAAAAAAAAGTGTGAAATGAAGCAACAGGTATCTGCTTATCTCTCCGTCTCTCCCCCCTCCCCTTTTCCTTCTCTCTTCCTTTGGGTGACCCAGTGGGACAATAAGGCAATGACAGATAAGGAATGATTTGCTAGAAGCAAAACCTTTAAAATAAACAAACCATTAGGCTCTGTTCTGAGAGGAACTAGTGCAAGCCGCCCGAGTGATTCTAATTCAGGTGAATTACAGACAAATTTCCCTGGCAAACTCGCAGCTGTGATAATAGCGCCCAGTCTAGAGCCTGCACAGTGTCCAGACGAGAACCCAGAACCTCGCTACGCTCACACAACCCAGTGGTCTGGTTCATAACACAACACCTCGCCGAGCACATGACCATTAGTGTGTGTGTATACGTGTTTGTGTGTGCGAGTGGGTGGGGGGTGTCAGGAAGACAAAGAGGGAAAACCTCAGTGCCATGTTTTTCTACCTGGGAAGCATGTTTTTGTTCTGTTTCTTTGGTTTCAAAGTGTGTGTTCCAGACTGTAGAGGAAACCAGAATCTGCATAAATAAAGTGCATTGATTGAAAAGTGTTTTTCATGCATCTGGCACAAAGCATTTAAATTTTAGCTTTTGCCGTGACAAAAGGCCTTCTGGTCTCTTTGAATGTCCAATGATGTGTCAGACTATTTCATTTAAAGCTACACTGTGTGATTTTTACCCCCCATCTAGCGGTGAAAGGGTATATGACCATCCAGTGAATATTAGTTTCTGTTCCTCTCAATTCTGATTTCGTTTTAACTCCTACGGTGGCCAATGTAGTCCAAGATTGACATGGCTTCCAGTTCGACCTCGCCCATGAGTGTTAACGTAAATGTGAAAGGCGAAGCTTGAATTAACGGGTATGTCCCTGTTTTGCTAATGTACATTCAAGATGGAGGGGCAACATGGCGACCGACATTAGAACCTCTTACCTGTATGTATTTTCAATGGCATATTATACACTCACAAGAATACTTTATTACTTGAACGAAGTAAATATACATTAATGAGCACATATATTTTTGAAAGAACTAAGTGTTTTTAGCTAAGAATAAACTAAAAGAGTTACACAGTGTAGCTTTAAGACGTGCTTTTCCAAAAAAAAAAAAAAAATACTAGAGATATCTCTGATAAAGTGTAGCTTGTGTTTTCACTCATTCATATGAAAAAATCATCATTCTGGCTCAGGGTTCAGCAAAGCTTCCTTGTTTTGTAGCATTTAGACTGTCTGTTAGCTTTGAAGCTATAGTGTATAACGTTGAGAAAATTAATTTTTAGCAGATAACAAAAAGATATTGATGGCTCGTCTTGCACTCATGTGCTTATACAATGTTTTGTAACAAATCTAGAATCTGCTCACCCTTTTACCACGACTAGCATTAGCTAGTAGCAAATCATGAACTTTGTCCAAATGTGAACACCATTGTTCTTAAAAAATAAAGATTTCTCAACGATACGATAGAAGACCCATTTTGGAACAGTTCCTAAAATAACCATTTTTTTTCTTAATGTGAGGAACATTGTCATGTGTGACATGAAGTCAGCACATCGCTGACTTCCAATATCTGTGCGCTATGTATTTCTGTAAGTCTGAGTGATGCAAACAATCTTCCGCTTTTTTCAGCCATAAATGATCATCTTTTGTCAATTGCGATTAATATAGAATAATGTTGATGTTATCATTATAATCTTGAATATATCAGTAATATGAACTCGGTAAATTGATTGAACTCCGTAAAGCCGCAGTTTCCTCCTGATCTCCAGTCATTTCTCTCCGCCTAATCTCCTCCTTATCGCTTTAAAATATAGAATTCCTTGCAGAATTCAGGTTTTGTGGTCTGCGCCATGCAACTTGCGCAAATGGTTTCTGGGAAATCTGTGTTATTGCGTCAGACCGGGCTGGTGGTTCACGTGTGAATACAGACTTAATTTCGTCCCAATTTACACCGTCTGAATCATTTCCTATCCCCAATATAGTGGGTGATCTGCATTCACTATGTAGAAAATAGTAAATGTGTGAACAAGTGACTGATTTTAGCCACAGCTTCAGCATCTATTTGGGGTTGGGAAGCTGTAGATTCTAGAGAGTATCTGATTGGATAGAACTTCTAATGAGAAGCTGAAGTACAGGGTGATGTCATCAAAATCACTGATCCATTTTGGCGAATACGAGAAACAAAGTTTTGAATCTTGCTTATCTTCTAAATGCAAATTTTGTCATTGTTTTGGAGCTAGATAACAGTGAGACTAAAATATAGCTACTAAAGGATTTAATTGGGAATTTTAAAGGGATACTCCACCTTTTTTCATATTAAACTTTGTTATTCACTAAGACGAGTTGATGCATACCTCTGTCATCTCAATCGCTCTGAAACACTTTGATAGCGCTTAACTAGCCCAGGTCATTCAATAGGGGCCAAGCAGAGAAGCGACCAAACACCTCCACGTTTTCACTATTTAAATAGTGTAACTTGGCCCCTATGGGCTCTGCACGGCGGTATTTCCGGTGAAGGTGTAAGGATGCTCGATAACTTCCGCCAATCGTAGAGTCCAATGCAATACCGAGAATTTATATTGAATTTTATACTCCATGGTTATAGTAAAGAAACGTTAGTCACAAAACAGACACCCCTCGTTGTGTTTATGCTTCTTTTTAAAATTATATTAAATAAACATAACTATATATAAAATTACATCTTAACGTATGAAAGTTTCGTTTCAAAGACGGGAGGACAGTAAATTTTGAAAAACTCTTCCATAATCCCGTTTCCTCGGTTCTCCTCCGCTTTAATCTCCCCAACCGGAAACTGACGAGCATCCTTGCGTCAAATGCGGAACTTATGCGTAGACCATTGAATGAACTGGGCTAGTTATGTGCTATCAAAGTGTGCGCCAGAGACGAGAGAGGTGTGTATCAACTCGTCTTTGTTAAGGGAATAACATAGTTTAACATGAAAAAACGGTGGAGTATCCCGTTAACAGTTGCTATTTATGTCGCTGCTGTGTGTCTTTCTTACTTTTTTGCGAATCAGCGCCACTACTGGCACCAAATGGAACTGCACTCTGTTTTGAGCGAACAACACTGTCTCATCGAAAGTTGGGGAGAATTGTAAAACTGTTGTTTCCAAAAGTCTGTGCAGAGCAATGTCACGGTCTCGAGCGCTTGATTGCAAGCGGTGATCCGCTTCGGCCGCAGGTTTCTTCTCAGCGGGATGTCATTACGTTAAATCTCTCACACGCTGAGCCCCACACACGGACGCACGTGCGCCGGGCTGGGGGGTGGATGAATGGCCCACAACGAGCTCTGCTTCTGATCAAGAGCTGGCCGGCCGGGGCGAGTGTGTAAGGAAATACTCTAGTGGGACCATCAGAGCGCATTAGACTGACCGAGAGCAGCCTGGGGGAAACGCAGCTGCCCGGAGAACACACTGCAGCAGTATTTCATCAACATTAAATTCTCGCCTTTAATCCTAACGTATGCAGGCCACACCGAGAACGAGCGGTCAGTAGCATATTTGTGTTTACAGGTTGTCTGTTAATTGCTGTCTAGGACGACTGCAGTCAAGTTCACTTACATAGGGCAGTTGTCGCTGGCTTAATAACACACGAGTCCCATTTTCATGTAGCCTTTAGGAAACATGCCAGAAATAAAAATGAATCAC